GATGGCTTCCAGCTCTGGCTGATTCTGCTGTGGGATTTGTGCTGGGGGGCAGCGGGGGGGGCTCCAGGAAAAGCCTTGTTTTGGTGTCCATCTCCTCAAGGACGTTGCCTGGCTGAACATTTGCTTTCTATTCTTAGTCTGAACTTCCACCCCCCCATGGCTTGTTTGCAAAGCTGTCTTGCCCAAACTCTGTACGTGCACAAGGAGCTGACTCCGGGGTGGCTTGGGTGAAGATTGGAAAGTTGATCCCAGGAAAGGAAAGAAGACTTGAAAAAAAAAGGACTTTTGACAGCAGCTCAGCTCAATGGAGAAGGAAGCCCTTTTTTTTTTTTGCCTGCGGGGCGTTTCTTGGCATAACACAAAGTTTCTCAAGTCCAAAATGCAATGCTCAGAAATGCGCACAGCAAAACAGGCAGGATGCTCATAGGAAGAGCCACAGGGGGGTCAGCCCCCAAACTCTGCCTCGTGCACCTAGAAAAACAGGTGGGAGGGGTGTCGATTGTACCATTGTAGAGCCACCATCTTCACAACCTGCAGATGCCCTTGGAAAACAGATTATCTTGCGGAACTTGGTGACAGCAAGAACAATTAGCCAGTGAAGGTCTTTAAGGAGAGATTGGTCAGTCCTTTGTCCAGAGAGATACAGGATTGGGAAAGGATCTTGGAGGAGCCCCTGTGTGTCAAGTATTCCTACTTGACACACAGGGGCTCCTCCAAGATCCTTCTGTTATCCTGTATTCAGACAGCCTGGAAAGCATGATCCAGCTGATGGGTTGCAGCACATGATGTCATGCTGAGTTTTGCTTTCAAATGGGATGGAAACGTTCAATTAAATTGTATTTGTATTAATTTTTGTGATAATTTGGGGAAAGCAAGGACACAAAGCAAGTTAAGGGCATGGCAATTCCTTTGGTCCTTGTGCAATGTTGCCGTCTTCTGATTCCCTTAAAAAAAAAAAAATCTGGTATCCAAGTTGACTCTCCCTTCACCAGCCCAGTTCACCCTTCCTTGCGCTGTTTTCTTGACCGAAGAAAAGGAGAACGAATAACCTAAGGATCAGTTTGCCAGATGGGATGTTGTTAAGTGAATTATTGCAGCGGTTAAAATAGTAGCATGGTTGTTAAGTGAATCTGGATTCCCCATTGACTTGGCTTGTCAGAAGGTTGCAAAAGGGGATCGTAAATATGAACCATTTGCCAAGCCTCTGAATTTTGAACCGGATTTCGATCACGTGACCAGTGGTCGTAAGTGTGAAAAACAGTCACAAGTCACTTTTTCAGTGCTGTTGCAACTTTGAACTGTTGTAAGTCGAGGACTACCTGTATGCCTCCTGCCCTTCTATCACAAAGTGATCATTTTAATCTTTTTCCTAACCTCTTCATCCCTATTTAATCCCCAAGATCATCATCTTTCAGAAAAAAGTCCATATATGGTTCCCAATCTTTTCAGAAAAATCTTATCTTTTTTTTTTTCTGATTAAATCGCTCAGCTTTCTACATTTCTGCAAGTTCAGTTAGTTTTGTCTCTTAACTGTGTTTCATTGTATTTCAATGTATTTCTTTGCTTTTCCAATGTTTTGGCATACAATAATCTTACCACAGTTACCGTACAGAGCAGGGGTTCCCAACCTTGGGGGTTCACACCCCCTGGGGGTGCGAGACGATATCCCAGGGGGTGCGAGAAAAGTCCAGGTAAATAATAGGATATTGGCTATATGTTGGCATTTTTATTTATTATTTATTTCAGAGGGTGCAAGGTTTGAGTGAAATTTCTTTAGGGGTGCGGGGCGAAAAAAAGGTTGGGAACCACTGGTATAGAGTATTAACTTTCCATATTTCTTTTCTAATTCTATGCCCATGAAACCCAGGAAGGATAATTCTGTTAAAAGCTACCAATTGTTGTGGACTGAAGGTTAAAAAAAAGGCAACCGCTCCCAGAATCAATCCGTGCCGTTTTCTCAGGGACAAGGTCGAAGGGCGCCTGTCTCTGACCTCTTCCAGAAGGCTTATTAATTATGCCCTGAAGAGGAAATACTTTCCTTTAGCCCAGGGAGCTTGTCAAATTCATGTGTTTTCAGAACACTGTATGGCAACTAGTCAACAACAAAGGAGGCTAAAAACAGCTCAGAATAAATAGAAGCTAAATAAGCAACATTCCTGGAAGGAGCAGCCGGGGTTTGAGTGAATTGATGAGGGAGGAGAACTTCTCTGGCACAAGAGGGCCTCCTTGCCCGCGTTTCCTGGGTCGGCGAAAGCCCTGGAGACAGCCGCTGTCCGGCCAACAAAGGCCGGTCAGGGAAGGCGGTTGGAGCTGATTCTCTGGCCAGGCTCATCAGGCAGTGCAGGAGGACCAAGAAAAACCCACCTCCTTTTCTTATTTTATGCTGGCCCATTTCTGAAATGTGCTTAGAGCTCAAAGCATTGTTAAGACCATTCCAGGGTCTCCGTTTCTGTTGCTCCCCTCTGGGGGGAGGAGGTTTCGAAGTGTTTCTAGCAGGACTTCCAGATTCTGGAACAGCTTTGTTCCCTAGGCCAGTGGCCCCCAACCTTTTTTGTCCAACAGCCCGGTACCGGCATCACAAAATGATCCATGGACCGGTACCAGCATCAGCACGCATGACCAAGGCAAGGCGAGCCAAGCGACCGGCCAGCCAGCCGTCCCCCGCTTCTCCCCGCCACCTTCAACTCCTCCTTTGTACCTTTGTCGATGGGCTTTTCAGGCTCTTTCTTAATCTCCTCCTAATGCGAGACTCCTTCGTTCGAAGCCGCCCCCCCTCGACGAAACTAAGGCGCAAGGATTCATCACCCAAACGCTGCTTTCCAACCGAAGACCGACAAGCTCACCCGGAAGCACTTTCTCAAGCACCATCAAAACAAGATGGCGGCACCCACTTTGCGGCCCGGTAAAAAATGCTCCACGGACTGGTACTGGTCCAGGGCCCGGTGGTTGGGGACCACTGCCCTAGGCCATCCGCCTGGTAAACTCGCAAGGTTCGTTTCTCTCGCCATGCGCATGGATACATCCGAACTGGACTGTGTCGTTTCTCTGTGTCCTATAATATAGTATTGATTTTGTATTTATTTATTTAGTCATGTTTCTTGGAGGTGGTGGAGGCCCTTGGAGAGCTGCATGCCATGAAATTTCATTTTAATGTATGCCAATCAGTGTCCATTCCAAGTGACCGTAAGGTTCTTCGAAGTCTCTAAATGGAGCAAAAGTCCGAGGGTGAGAAAGGATGAAGCCAAAGGGCACCAAACATGTTTCAAAGGCCAGAAAGCCTTACGCAGCTCACTGAAGAATAGAACCCAGCACATGAAACCGTTTGGCCCCGAGACGGACCTGGGAGCTGACCTGGGCCAGGGCAGCCAGTCCTCTTGGATGGCTTGAGGACAGGTGCAGAAGGCCACATGTCCACTCCTTCAGGTCAGTGACAGTTGCATTGAGTTTCTTTCTTTCCTTCTCGTTTTGTGTAGAGCAGAACTGCCTCTCGGTAGGACAACGGCTCTTCCCACTCTTCCTTCTTCTGGACCGCCTGGAGAGTTGACGGGACACACAGCTGTGGAGCATGGACGGAGGACGTCACCCAGGAGGGCGGCCACCGAAGCCAACTTGTGCAAGGCATCCTGCCCAGCGTGGCGAGTATGAGATGGGTGAACTTCATAAAATGATAAAAACAAATGCGTATGTCGTTACTTACTGGCCTATTTAAAGTATTTTATTTGGAGTCAGAGATGCAGCGTTCTTAGGTGGAAAGAGCTTTTGCTTGTAATGTCACCGGAACAAGCAGGGAGCCATTTCTGGGAGGTAGAAATGAATGGCGTTGCCAGCTATTAATCACCCATTCACCACCCATCCATCCATCCATT